ATCGGAATCCGAGACGTGGGCCCGGGAGTCGGGTTTGGCCAATTTCGGGATTTGTATTGTAATTTGATTCTTTCGAGTGGACTTTGTTCCCTTAGCATATTTTGATGATTTTGCACTGATTTTGGTTAGATTTGGAGCATCCGAAAGCCGATTCGAGAGGCAAAGGCATCGCGAGCTAGAGATTTAGACCGGGTAGAGGTAAGTAATGATTATAAATGTTATCCTGAGGGTACGAAACCCCAAATTGCACATTGTTGTGCTATATTGAGGTAATACACACGCTAGATGACGAGCGTGGGGTCATACACCATTGGGGATTGTGACTTAGTCCATCCCGAATGACTGTTTTACCGCGTATTTGATTGAAAACTATTGGCTATCATCATGTTTTGGGCTGAATGCCATATTTGGGCCTCGTGCCAACTATTTGGATCCTTAGGGAATTTTTACTGATATTTCCTCACTGTTTTGACTTTACACATGTACTCATTCATGCTATATTCTACTGTTTTCATAACTCAGCCATGTTTACTCTGTTTTAGACATTAAATGATATTTTCAATGATAAATTGGGTTGAGCATCATGTTTTACTGTTGCCCGAGTGTCTTAAGAGATTCTGACTGAGTAAGCCCGAGGGCATGTGTTGTGAGGATACACTGATTATGATTATGAGGTCGAGGGCCTGAGTTGTACGCCACGAGGTGGCTTGATATGAGGCCGAGAGACTATTGATTATGCCACGAAATTGCTTGATATTGCACTTGGATCATAAGGGGCCCCTCCAGGAGTTTGCACACCCCCAGTGAGCATGAGTACCCATGTGATGTGAGATATAGCCCGAGGGGCTGGTATTGTTTCTGTTGGTATTGTGCCCGATGGGCGATTCTTTATGTGTTTATCTTTCCTAGTTGTCTGTCATTTACTTGCTTAATTGTTAAAAAAACATTTTTAAGAAGTTTAAACTGAACTAAAGTGACTTCACATATTCTTATTGCTTCATTGTTTTTACTGGCTTTTACTGCTTCTTTATAGCCTGTTGATGTACCTTTACGTGATTTTTTATTACTCAGTCTGCATTTATTATTATTACTCACTGAGTTGGAGTACTCACTTTACTCCCTGCACCCTGTGTGCAGATTCAGGCGCATCAGGTCCTGCTTGCGAAGGTTGAGAGAGCTTCTAGCAGATTCCGAAGATTCACTAGGTAGCTGCCCGGCGATTCGCAGCCCAGTGTTTCTCCTTCTATCTTATTTTATTCTGTTTTAGTTATGTAATAGTTGTGTACACTCTTTTCAAACTTGTAATTTTTATGATAGACGCTCATGACTGGTGACACCCCGATGTCGGGCTATATCTTTTTCTGCAAACTGTATTAATTACCTTATTTTGGGATTTATTATTTTGATTAAGACTTAGTTCTATTATTTAATTGCTTAAAAATGAATTGGGAGAGTGTTGGTTGGCCATATTTTCATGAGAGGCGCCATTACGATCCAGTCCGGGTTTAGGGTCGTGACATTGACCCCCAACTGAATATTCTAAAGCTAATGGGACTTCACTTTCTTATTATATGTGGTCCTGTTGTTGCATATTTATTTTTTTATTTCTGGTCCCCCATGTTTATCTTTCCTTGTGGTCCATTAATTTATTATTTGATAACATTTCTTTATTATTTAACAATCATTTTTTAGAGCTTTCAGTTTAACCTTTTTTAAACATTTTTTTATGTGGTCCGAGATAGATTTTCTTTATTGTTTAACCTGTATAACAGTTTTGTTGCCATAGCCATTGCACATTATTATTCATTCTAATTTATTTTCTTAATTTTTCAGGATATTAAAGATGACGTTGGTGGACATAATGTTCCATCATGGTGTGGATTGGATCATAAAACCCCATGTGTTATATTCAAAGAAGCTTGTTCACTCTTGGGAAGGTTATGACTCTGACCTTCTTTCCTTTATTGGTCTAGTAAATGAGTACACTGGGGAATTGATGTATTTAGTTGTTCAACAACTAATTGTAAATGGACCTTTTAGTAACTATTATGAAGTGGTAGATGATTCTGGGATAAGGCATTTACTGTCTTTAATATCTGATGAGTTTAAGTGTCTTAACTTCTATGCAGTAGATGAATGTGAATTATCTGCGAATGTTCCTAATATTGTCCATTATTTTGATTCACATGCATCAATAACTGAAGTTGGTACAGATTGTAGTGAGGTTGAGTGTGAGAGTAATAATGAAAGTGAGGGTGATGAGGTAGTGTATGATTCTGAGGAATTACAATCAATTGCTTGTCAAAAAAATAGAGAAATTGATGTTGGACTGCAAAATTACAAGGAAATGTATAAGGGCATGAGCTTCAAGGACATACCTAAAGCAAGAAAATGTATTAACTTTTATGCCCTGGCAAACAAAAAGGATTTAAAGCAAGTAAAAAGATAAAGAAAGATTAAGGTACAAATGTATTCCTGGTTGCCCTTTTGTTGTTCTCATTTCTGGGGATGGAAACCTTCCAGGGGTTAGGATAAAGACATTAAAATCAGAGCATACTTATGATGAAGCATTTGATAATAGTAGGGTTGATTATCATACAATTGCACATTACTTCAAGAAAAAGCTACAAGATAATCCTATGTATAAGATTAAAGAGATGAGAGCAGATATCGAAAATGTGTTTAATATAAATGTCAGTTATGGAAAGTGTAAGAGGGCTAAAAGACTGATTTTAGAGAAACTAGAAAGCAGTTTTACAGATGGCTACAATAAAATTGAGGCATATGCCAATGAACTTAAAGAAAGTAATTCAGGGAGTGATGTGATCATTAACTTGTCAAAGGATGCACTTGCTCAAGGTGTTAGAAGTTTTTTGAGAATGTATATTTTCTTCCATGCTCTTAAGATGGGTTTTAAAGAAGGTTTGAGACCTTTCATTGGCTTGGATGGACCTTTCTTAAAGGGAAAGTCAAAGGTCAATTGTTAATTATTGTTAGTTTGGACTGTAATAACCAAACCTATCCTCTATCTTGGGCAATTGTAGATAAGGAAACTAAGAGAACATGGAATTGATTCTTGGAATTGCTTCAAAGGTCATTGGATCTCAAAGAGGGTGAAGGAATTACCTTCAAGTCAGACATGCAGAAGGTAGTCTTTCCATTCTAATTATTTATTTCCTTACTGTTAAGTCTATCTTATTTGTGTCCTTTAACTATTCTTATTTTTACTTTTATTTTATGTAGGGATTGATTCAGGCCATCCATAATGTGCTTCCAGAGTCAAATCATAGATATTGTGTGAAACACATTGAGGCAAACTGATGCAAAAAATGGAAAACAAATGAGTTAAAGAAGTTCTTCTGGTGGTGTTTGTTGTGCTCATATGAGGAAGAATTCATGGACCAATGAAGAGCATTGGTCAAATGGATAAGGAAGCTGCAGAAGCCTTACTTAAATATCCTTCTCAAGCTTGGTGTAGAGCCTATTTTGACACAATGTGTAAGAATCAAAGAGTTGCAATAATTTCACAAAATCCATAAATGCATGGATTTTAGAAGCTAGGCAGAAGCCAATCATTAACATGCTTGAGGATATAAGGACTAAGCTAATGAACCAGTTGAGGGAGAGAGAAGAATCTGCTAGATTATGGACTACATCTTTCAGTCCACATAGCATGAAGTTATACAATGAATACCTCAAGATAGCTAATAGATGTGTTGTTAACTCCAATGGTGAATTTGAATATAAAGTCAGAGAAGAGGGAGATAGGCATACTATCAATATGGCTATAAAGGGATGCACATGTAGGGGATGGGATCTTACTGGAATTCCACGCCCCCATGCCATTAAAGCCATCCAGTACAAGAAGATGGATCCTTTGAAGGAAATAAATTGGTGGTATAGTAAAGAAGCATACATGCTTACTTATAAACACAAATTGTAGTTCATTTCCAGCTTTTGAGCATCCAAAACTCAAAATAAAACCAGCTATAAGGCCTATGGTTGTATTTGAAGAAAATACAAGGCTTCAACAGAGACAACAACCATCACAACCTTCAAGATCAAGGGTAATTACATTCAAAGGTGATCATAATGGTTTAAGTGTTTCATCAAATCTTTCTTACTCACCAGACACCCTCACATGGAAGGGAAAAGCTGATATTACTGGAAGACAATTGAAAATGTAAAATAGGCAAAGAATTGAGAAGTTGGTGCCAAGGAAGAGAAACAAATGATGTGTGGTAGTTCAAGTATTTTGGGCTTGTAGTTACTGCATTCTGATAATATAATCAAACTGCTATTTTTTTGTTTAATTTGATGGTAAATTGGAGGTCGTATTATGACCAAGGGTCTGTAAGTTTTTGGGGGTCATAATTTTGCATCCAATAGTCCATCAAACAGAAATTTGCTAAGTTAAGTATTATGTAGTTTATTTTAGTATTTGTATCATTTTAGTGCTGCTGCTAAGCAATATGCAGATTTGTTTAGTTTCAGTAAGCAATATGCAGATTTGTTTAGTTGAAGTTTATATCATTTTAGTGTTGTTGGTAAGCAATATGCAGATGCAAATTTATTTAGTTTCAGTAAGTAATATGAAAATTATCTCATTTCAGTAACTAGTATGCTTTACTTATTTCAGTGTCTCAATATGCAGTTCGTTTTTAAAGTGTTGCTGATTTTCAATACGCAGTTATCTACTTGTTGTGGACTAGTGTTGCTGCTACTCTTATGAGTAAGGATGAAATGAACAAAGTGTCTCATTTCAATAAGCAGATAACAATTCTAGACTAAAGAACCTAGAAACACCAAGTTTATATTTACCAAGTACATATTTACCAGAAACTACAGAATACACGCTAAGACTTCATATTTAGGCACCAAGTTAAGACTTCATATTTAGGACTTGGTACCAATACCAAGTTAAAACATCAACACTCTTCATTGTTTACAACTTAAGTACCAATATAGAAACTTAAAAAGTTGCACTTCATATATCAAATTCAATTCATTAGCATTGCAGCAACAACTCCTATAAATATTGCCCATGAAATCATAATGAAGATCTTCATATTTAGGACTTTCTCTTCTAATTTACGGGCTTTGTTCACTTCCGAATTCTTTAAAGCCTTCAAGACATCCACTCTTTCCTTTAATCTGTCCCTTTCAAGAATAATCACATCCAACGTCGACTTCATATTGTTGAGTTTAACATTAGCGACATCCAATTTGTAATTCATATTGTTAATTGTAATGAGCACTCGATCTGGAACAACATCATCTTGCCATTCCCAATAACCGCACGAGCTTATCTACCAACACAAAGCATACAACTTGTAATTATGAACCACTAATACAAGGGGGATAATTAAATTATCGAAAAAAATCAAATGGAACCAAAATAAAAGAAATAATACATACATCAAGTTTAGGGCACTTAAAGAATCTCCTTCCGGAATTATATGGAGTCTTTGAAGTGAAGTAGCTGGCAATTTTCCCACAATGGCACCTCCTATTTGATGAATAACAATGTGACATGAGGAAACTTGCTATGGTGGAAAACCTTCACAACCCAATGTATGAAGTTAAGAAGAAAGAAAATGGGAGAGAAAGACTTTACAATGGAGATGAAAACAGCGATGGGAATGAACCCTAAGTCTTTTCTTTCTGAGGGAGATGAAAATAGCGATGGGAAAATGGACTAAATTGTAACGATGAGTCTAACTTAATTGGTTGGGTCAGGCGGGTTTTAATTTAAATTTGGGGCGGGTCAGTTGGTCCAATAAGAGGATGCCACGTACTCCTTAAAAATCCGAGAGAGTGTTTTTAACGGGTGAGGGATAATGTAAGGCCCCATGAAACTTCTGCTAAAAAACCCAAGTCTTGTGGTGCCAAGTAAGGATCATGTGTTATGAATTCATAAAATTCTTCACGGCGAGCTTGCTTGCCGTGGTTCGGACCCTTTGGATTGATATGTGCATTAAAATGTTAAAGAATAGTGTTTTCCAGAAAAGTGCAATTTTACGGTCGCATAATAGCTATGCAGACCGCATAGTCACCGCAGAGTCAGGCAGTGCGAAGGTTAATTTTGAGGTCAACTATGCGGCCAAATATGCGATCGTATAGTCGATATGCGGGCTGCATAGTCGTCGCATAATCCCCTTGGAACTTTTGCGAGGAGCGGTTCTGTGGTGCATTTTGCGACCATAGAACGGGTATGCGGACCGCATTCTGATCGCATACCCAGGAAGATTGTTCAGGTTTTTGGGAGCATTTTTGCGGTCCATTTTGCGGGCCGCATGTCAATTTTATGCGATCGCAGATCTGAGTCGGGGCTCCAGATTTCTAAATTTTAAACCCGACCCCCTATCGTTATACTCTGTGCAATAGCTCATTTTGAGCCTATTTCCTGGTGCTTTTAGAGTGAGAAGGAGGGTGTAAGAGAGGGCAAGTGCCTTTCATCAAAATTGCTCCACAAATCCTTGTTAAAAACATTAAAAATAATCAAGTGGAGCACCAAAACCTTCATCCCAGGAGGTAAGACTTCATCACCTCAGCTCTTAATTTTATACATAGCTATAAGGAGTCATTAGTGAGGAAATTCATGAGAATAAGGGTGATTGCATTGAATGCATGTGTTCTTAGAAGATATGGAAAAATTATAAATAGAGAGGCATGGAGAATGGGCTAAGTGTAATCTTGCATAAAAGGACCATAAGGCCGTAATGGACACTCAATGCTTGATAAAATGCTCAAGTGAGCTTAGATTATGATCTTTTCCAGATTATGGGTTCAATTGTGCTATATTACTTAAATAGATTGAAGTGCGAACATTCCGGAACGTTATAGGATTAAGGAAAGCTTAGTTGAGGTATGTATGGCTAAAACCCTGTCTTTTAAAAATCGAGCTCCGTCGGTGTTTGCGTAATTATGGTAAGATTAAAGTTGAACTGTTTGTATGGATTGTTGTTTCACATGAATTTGGGGTTACAACTTTATATGCGTGAAAGATGTGTCTCAATATGATAAATGTGTTATTCTTGATAATTTGAAAGACTGCCAGGAATATGAATCATGTACTGAAATGCTTAGACCTTAAATTGAGATTGAAGCTGTATATGTTGTGTCTTCTATGTGAAGTCTCATCTACACTTACAACTTTATTTGCTCTTATGTGCACATATTATCCTAAATTACCAATCTAACATTGAAATTGGGAATGATGTGAAATGTGGCCTAGTGCCAAATATATGACGTGATAGCTGTGGCTCCAAGTGTCTATGAAATGATATATGTGATACAAAGATTGAATTGAGATGATTGATGGAAAAGGGAAACGCCTTGGTAAAGCGGCCTAGCCGATCGGGCCGAGATCGGACGCCATGCCGCACACATGGTGGTATTGTGTTGATATTGAGCCCCGGATAAAAAGAGGAAAAATGAGATTGTGATTGAAGTGTATGTCTCAAATGAGGCAACCTAGCCGATCGCATCGAGATCGGACTCCGCTGAAGCTAGCGGTGGTATAGCGAACAATGATGAACAATATGAAATGGCCCAAATTAAAGGCTATGGAAACATAATGCAAAAATTGTATGATTCTTCTACATTGATAATGTTGTGATCGTTTAAAACTTTTGAGTTATACTTGTGTTTTCCTTATGTTTGGTATGAAAGTTCTTTCTAACTAGATGGTGTTTAGTTATACATACTAGTACTATTCCATGGTACTAACGTCCCTTTTGCCGGGGGCGCTACATTTTTAAATAAATGTCGGTGGCTCCATTGCGGATAGTGTCGATCGCGCGTAGCGGAGTACCTTCTTCTCAAAGTCTTGGTGAGCCCCTTTCTCCTTCAAGGGGTTATATTGCACATCTTTTGTTGTGGACTTCCACTTTTGAGGTATAGCCGGGGCCTTGTTGCCGGCATTGTCATACTTGTCTTTTACATCTTTAGAGGCTCCGTAGACATATGTGTGGGTTATGTACGGGTGTTGGATGGGTCTACGAACTATGTTNAGTCTACGAACTATGTTATAATTCTAACTCTCGCTTCTCTAAAGTGTAATTGTATGGAATCTTGGAACTTAACTACGGCTTAACGTTATGATATAAAATGATCTAATAACGTTGAATGTACTATATTTCCTCGTCTAAATAAATGAAAGCATGGTTTCCTTATTCATATTGAGTTGGGTAGGAAGTGTTTGATAAGGCTTACTCAGTTGGGTTCACTCGATTGAGTGTCGGTCGCGCCTCCCGAGGTTGGGGCGTGATAGATAAATGTGCAACTAATGTATAACGGTGGGGATATTTTTGATAAGAAACTCAAACGGGGGATAAATAAGGCATGTTTATGATAGTAGAAGGGCAAATCAGACCCTTAACTGTAATTATAATGGGTTTTGCAAATAATAATAATTTCTATTTATCTATTATCTATTTATTATTACTATTTACTTTGCCACTTAAGTTTTTTATATATAAACGGCGGCTTTGCCCTAAACTGAATTTTTTGTTCATCGCCTTCCCAGCGTTTTAACATCTCTCTGCGCCTTTTTCCCCCTATGTCGTAGGAAGCTTTTTGTATTATCCTTTGTATACAATATAGTTGCTCTTGGTACTGGGCTATTCTTATAGTCCTTTGTGGCTACCTTCGCTTGAAGATTTATGTTATTTCACTGCTTTTGATCGGTGAGTGTTACTAATATTCTATCTCATTTTCTTCTTTCTCCTTGCTTTCATAGTCCAAATCTGCATCTACAGCTTTGATTTGGATGAATAGCCATTAGAATAGAGGAGTAAGACAGAGAGAATTCTAGAGCTGGAAGCTGGAAAGAAGGTAAAGATTAATTACAAACTGAAATAGCATAGTTGAAATGCAAACTATTGAAGCTTAAGTGGAGGAATTTGCAGCGTTTGATCCACGAGCTCTTTCTTGCTTCTTGTTAAGTTTCTGGTGTCTTTTCTGGGTTATGAAGACCCCTATTTATAGTTGTGGAAGGGAGGAGTTATGATAAGAACAAACTCTTTCCGACCAATCAAATTAAAGTGTGACAAAGCTGCATTTGATTGGCCAGAACATGTCACTTGTACACATGTCGCAATTTTATTGGCCTTTTAATGTGACTTGGCATGCCTTGTCATTTTGACAAGTGGCATGATCCTATTGGCTCTTCCGTTTGATTGGACGTGCCACATCATTTGACACGTGGCACCAAATTGGGCCTCTAGGAACATGACATCTTGGGCTTAATGAATTGGGCTCATCACTTTAGCCTAATTAAATGGGCTAGCTCAATGGATTAAGACTTATTTATTTAATCCATATACATTGGACTTATATAATTAATTCAATTATATTAGCCCATAATATTTATTTGAACTAATATATCTTGAATTTAAAATATAGTCTAAATTACTTTACGGATTTAATTCCAATAGAATTTATATGCCTGCAATTCAATAAATGAATTTTCAAGGCGATAATAAGGCATCAACTCTGTATATAGGAGAACCATCTCATGTGCGTACTATATATATAGTTCATTTTTACTCCACCAATTCGAATACATGTTGCAATGTGATTGTCATGACCCCAACTACCCGGTCGTGATGACATCTATCACATTACTAGGTAAGCCAACCCAAACATTTAATCACAACGAATTTCTTTTATAAAACCATTTTCTAACACGGGTTTAAATCTCAATTTTCATAAGAAATGTATAAAATAGCTAAAAATGTGCGGAAATCAATAAAACATTAAACCAACACAGCCCAAACATCTGGTGTCACGAGTCTAGAGCCTCTAAATATACAAATCTAACTATCTCACACTCAGCACTCAGGCTCAAATACACCTCATAATAGTAATAATCATAATAACAGTTGCGGCGTGCAGCCCAATCCATAGTTTATAGTCAACTACGCTCATTGGGGGTGTACAGACTCCGGAGGGGCTCCTACAGCCCAAGCGTCATATCGGTGCGCTGCACAGCCCGATCCTATATATATATTGCTGCGGCGTGCAGCCCGATCCATATAAGTATTACTACGGCGTGCAGCCCGATCCATAATGTTTATAGTCCTCATCATTATGTCCTCAACCTCTCTTAGTCATTAACCTCACAGCCACTCGGGCGTAACAGTAGAATTTAGGGAACTCAGTCCGAACAGTTCTCACATTAAGAAGGAGAGGGATAAAACCAGTTTAAAGCAATAAATAGGTAAAACATGACTGATGATATGCTTTTAATCAAACAGAGTGAGGAAAAACAGTAAAAATGCCCCTAAGGGTCTCAACAGGTCGACACAAGGCCCCAAACATGGCATACAACCTATAATACAGTATAAATGTCTAAAACATGAGATATCATAAGGGTTCAAGTCAAGTACGTGGCTTAATAGCCGCTACGGGATGGACCAAGTCACAATCTCTACCGGTGCATGCCCACACGCTCATCACCTAGCATGTGTGTCACCTCATTTATCAAAACAATTCGAAATACCGGGGTTTTGTACCCTCAGTTCCAGATTTACAATGGTTACTTACCTCAAACCAGGTGAATTACTACTCCACGACGACTTTGCCTCTCGCCTCGGCCTCAACTCGTGCCGAATCTACCCAAAATTAGAATCATAACATCAGAATATGCTAAAGAATCGAAGCCCAAGCGAAAATAATCAAATTATACCAAAAATCCCGAAATTGGCCAAACCCGACCCCCGGGCCCACATCCCAAAACTCGATGAAAATTACATCAACGGAATCCTTATCCTCCTACGAGTTCATACATACCAAGAATACCAAAATCCGACCACAATTGGCCCCTCAAATCCCTAGATTAAAGTCTCAAGTTTCCAAGCCCTAACTCCCCAATTTAGGCTTCAAATTCCCCAAATTTCATGCTTAATTAGGTAGAAATCATAATAGGATTGAGTATTAAGTCCAAAATTCTTATCTCCAACAAGTTCTCTTTGATTCCCTCTTCAATCTCTCTCAAAAAGCTCCAAAACCGAGTCAAAAATGGTGAACTTAGGCCAAAACTCACGAAAATGGCCTTTTAAACATTCTGCCAAGTGATCAAAAGTCCTTCTTCGCGAACGCGATCAAAGCCTCGCATTCGCGAAGCACAAAAATTCCATTGACCAAAATTCTCCTACGCGAACGCGACCACATCATCGCGAACGCGATGCCTCAGCCTCACCAACCATCGTGAATGCGGTCAGGCATCTCGCGAACGTGATTGCTTCCCATTCCGACCCTTCGCGAACGCGGGACCCCT